TAAATGCATGAGCGGTGAAGGGGGAAATGATTAAGGCTCTCTCTGTCTGTTCAATGTTCCATTATGTGCAATGTTGTGCTGCCTGGGTAAGAAGTAAAAGGAAAGAGGAAGGTGGTTTGGCAGAACCCAGGAGAAAGACATCCCACAGAGGCCACAGCTCCCTCGATCATCCAAGGACAGCCCGCTGATCGAGTTGTTTACATGCAAGGTGCAGCTTCCTTTTGCTTTCTCTCATTTTCCTGCTCACTTTTTAAAGCACAGCAGGTTCAGTCCATCCATAGTGCACACGCAAGCTTCTCCAGGTGGACTTAACCTCTCGATATACTGCAGTTTATTGAAACTAAGCTCTTCATTTGAACATGCACAGAAACAGAATGTTTTAGTGTAATGTCAGCCTTTTGTGTGTGTGTGTGTGTGTGTGTGTGTGCGTGCGTGCGTGCGTGCGTGCGTGCGTGCGTGCGTGCGTGCGTGCGTGTGGTAAGACTGATCTGGGACAAGCAGGCCTGTTAGTTTAACCTTGTGCCCTGCATGCATACCCAGCAGATAATGGGCACTACTGGCAGGAGCCAGTTAGTTTCCTCTGACTTTGCATCTGCCATGTGGTCTGGCCAAGCATGATGCCAATTTCGGTGGAGGCAGCTTTCAGATTGATTTAATTCACACTTCAGCTTCTGTGCTTTTACACAGTCCAATTTGACATGCATGTGTTGGATGATGTCATTCTGAGTTTGCTTGCTCGTATAGTTTTGCATTTTTTACTGGATCACATTGTACGTTTCAAAACAGCAGCATGTTGGCAGTAGCAGTAGCAGCAGCATCAGCAGCAGCAGCGACACACTGCTGTTTAATCAAAGTGGCCCAGGCTCAAGCTACTGTCGAGTCCTTGAGTGAGACACTGAACCCCTAATCCCTGAGGGGAAATGTCTCTGGCTGACTTTTTCACTTTCTCTGGCTGGCTGGTTTGAAAATGAGATCCCTGGTGTCACTGTCAACAAAATCTCCCTTGGAAATGACAATTGCTGTTCCTGTTGTGTGCTCTGGGTTACTCAGAGGGCAGGAATATCTGTCTGTAGAGCGAAGCGCCTTGTGAAATAAAGTCTTGAAGAGGGGGCGCAGAAGTGACATTGAGTAGGGCTTTTACAAAATAACAATAAAATAAAGCTGACATATAATTCAATATAGGGGTTTATCATCTCTCAGTGGTTTTTTATTGTTATTGAACTGTTGCAAAGCTATTTCAGGCTCCCCTGGTTCTGAAAATAAAAGTTGAGTCCACCAACAATGTTACGTGACTCACTGTTGGAGCACTTGTTGGTTGACTGACATTAAACTTTTCAAGTTCAATCTCTTGTGCAAAAGAAAGAGCATATCAGTTAATATCAACTTTGTTTTGTTTGTTTTATTAAATACAACAAGAAAAGGTCTGTGAGTGTAGAAAAACTTCATGGAAGACAGTGACTGTGACTGTGACCCATGGCGTTTTTCATCATTATTACATCAGCTCAAAGTGATCGGAAAATGCACCGCTAAAGGTCCTTTCACACCGGGACCATGTTTTTTAGTGCGATTATTTGAGACGTCAATATTTTTTTTGAACCCATATCCTGTCAATACAAGCGTTCACATCAGCAACGTTTTCCCATCCTGTGATATTGCTGCATTTATTTTTTCTGATCATGGTCGATTTTTCTAAAGTTTTGCATACTGTGTGTCCACTTCTGACCAATCAGATTGCGTGTTGTTGTGACGTCTGATTCACCGATATATCCAACATGGCCGACCGGCTGATTGCTTACGTGTCGGAGTACAGAGGTGCTTTTTGATAAAAGACACAAACATTACAGAGATAACGACCTGAAGGACAACTTGTGGAGAGTCATAGCGTCAGATTTCTCATATGACGATGGTTTGTGTGCTTTAACAGTTTGATAAACGTCTTTGTTTTAACTTTCATCTGTGCTAAGTAACTTTAGCTCGTAAGCTAACCTGTTCAGAAACAACATACCATATGTATTTTCACTGTTTCAAACTCAATCATGTTGCTGTCACAGCACCATTAGGTCTCGGTTGTTACATTACGTTAATGGATTATAGTTTAATTTGATACTGGCCCCAACTCAGAACATGCTATCATGACAGACAGCCATATCAACACTAGTGTCTAATCAGAACTGAAAACAGTCAGTCTGCTGTTGTGTCAGTCTTCTTGTGTCTTTCCCCCCCCCGGAAAGTCACAAAATCGCATCGGGCTTGATGTGTATTGTCAGGCGCGTCAAATTCGCCTCAGAATATTCCGTAATTTCCCGTTCTATATTCGCGTCGGCCCCGGTGTGAAAGGACCTTTACAGTGGAGAAAACAACATAACACAGAATTTACTGGGAAACAAAAAATCAAATATTTATGTCAGTTTACTTGTGGAGTCTTGGTCTGTTTACTGTTTACTTTTATTCAGATTGTTTGTAGTGGTCAGGGTCCCAGCCAAACTCAACACAGAAAAAGGTGGAGCTGCCTGAGAACATACTCATCTACACTTACTAAACTCATAATTTTAAGTACACGCACGCGCACGCACACACACACACACACACACACACACACACACACACACACACACACACACACACACACACACACACACTGCTGTTCTGCCCTGCTTTTGGAAATCCATCTTGCCTCTGTTATACCTCTGTTGCTGAAATTGTAAGCCTCAAGACCCCCTTAACTCACACATATATTCACAGATAAGATAATGAGAACTTTATTCATCCCGGAAGGGAAATTCAAATCCAGATTTAAATTTCAAATCCACAGGAGTAATTCTAAACACCTTGTCCTTGGGGTGAGTTCCGCTAGTGATCTGCTCAGCCCACCAAGAAGAGCCGGCTCTTGCTGCTCCAAAACCACTCTTCATTTACCACTTATACAATTTCTAAATAAGCCAAATTTAGCGTTGTTTGGCTTATGATATGTGCATACAGTACAGGCCAAAGGTTTGGACACACCTTCTCATTCAATGCATTTTCTTTATTCTCATTACTATTTAAATTGTAGATTCTCAGTGAAGGCATCAAAACGATGAATGAACACATATGCTTAACACAAAAGATTGAAATAGCTTAAAACATATATTATGTTTTAGATTCCTCAAAGTAGCCACCCTTTGCTTTTTTGATAGCGCTGCAAACTTTTGCTGTTCTCTCAATGAGCTTCATGAGGTAGTCACCTGAAATGGTTTTTACTTCACAGGTGTGCCCTGTCAGGGTTACTTCGTGTAAGTAACTCTGTCCTCAAGAGCAAAGGGTGGCTATTTTAAAGAAACTAGAATATAAAACATGTTTTCAGTTATTTCACACTTTTTTATAAGTACAAAATTCTACATGTGTTCATTCATAGTTTTGATGCCTTCAGTGATAATCTACAATGTAAATAGTCATATAACAAAATAAAGAAAAGACATTGAATGAGAAGGTGTGTCCAAACTTTAGGCCTGTACTGTATGTATACACATACCTCTTAAATAATACAATACATCCTTTGTACTTAAGTATTCGCAGGTAAAAATTACATTTTCAAATATCAGTAAATTGCTGTAACAATTGTTTTTATTGCATTTAAAGACCCTTGTAACTCTCTGAAACCACCCAATGAATGCCCTAGAAAAAAATGAGACCCATTTATGAGACAATCAAATGTTATTTTGTGTTGGTTTAGATGAAAAAAAAAAAGATTAGAGTATGTTTTTTAGGAATACAGCACTCTTCAGAATTGTTATTTTCAATATTTCCTTCCATCCATCCATTTTCCACCGCTTATCAGAGATCGGGTCCTGGGGGCAGCAGCCTGAGCAGAGAAGCCCAGACTTCCCAGCCATTCATCCAGCTCTTACCGGGGGACCCCGAGGCGTTCCCAGGCCAGCTGTTAGACGTAGTCTCTCCAGCGTGTCCTGGGTCTTCCCCATGGTCTCCTTCTGGTGGGACGAACCCTGAACGCCTCACCAGCAAGGCATCCAGGAGGCAAGCCACCTCATCTGACTCCTCAATAAGGAGAAGCAGCAGCTCTACTCTGAGCCCCTCCTGAGATCCTGAGGTCATCGAACCCAACCCACCAAGAAATTCTGTCCATAAAAGTTCTAAAAAGAATCAGTGACAGAGGGCAGCCCTGGTAGAGTCTTCCACTCACCGGAAACTAGTCTGACTTGCTACCAGCTATGCGGACCAAGCTCTGGCACCAGTCGTACACCAGTTGTCAGGGTGTCCAGTACCCTATACTCCCTAAGCAGCCCACACAGGACTCCCATCTTACCGGGGATCAGGTCGTGGGGGCAGCAGCCTGAGCAGAGAAGCCCAGACTTCCAAGCCACTTCGTCCAGCTCTTACCGGGGGACCCCAAGGCGTTCCCAGGCCAGCTGTTAGACGTAGTCTCTCCAGCGTGTCCTGGGTCTTCCCCATGGTCTCCTACGAACGGGTGGGGCGAACCCTGAACATAATATAATATGTTTTAAAGCTGATGTAACCTTTTCCTCAGTCTTCTCTGGTTCTGTCTGATCAACTAGGTTTGGGTGAGGAGATTGGCAGTAGCACTGAAGCACGAGAGCAGTTGATCTCCAGCCCACAAAGCACACGACACAGAATGCTGTTTTTTTTCAAAAAAGTATATTCAGATCTTCAGTTTTTTTCTTCAACTCAAAATATTCGGCCTTGCATCCGTTAAATAAAGTACAGGGTTTTTTTTTAAATTCACAACATAAAAAAATGAAATCAGCTGACCAGGAAGTACCAATATAGAAAATAATAAGGATAAGATAAAGAAAAAAAAATGTTTCTTTCCCTTTTAATGAGTTTGATTGTCCTTAGTTTTTTTATTGTCCTTCAGGGTCCTCCAAGAAGAAAACAGTTTTTTTAAGTTCCGTTCCTTTCCAAAAAATAGGAAAAAATAAAAATAAAAACCCCCAAAAATTACTGAGATCTCAGAAAAAAGTGCAAACAAAATGTGTCACTCCTCAGAACCTTTCCATACCACACCGATGTCCACACTGGTCCCGATGAACCAAGAGCCTCCCTGCAGCATGGCGGGTGATACGGCTTGTTGTTGAACCAAGAGCCTCCACGGGGCAACAGCGGACGATGTGGATCACAGTTGAACAGAAGAACTCGTCCTCAAAAAAAAACAGCCAGAATAGTTCAGAAAAGTACGGAGAAACTCTCGGTTTGAGTCCCTCCCGTGATCGGTTTCACCAGGTGAGTATCTCTTCACGCTCTCTGCTAACTACAGTTCTGTCACAACTCTCTCACAACTCAAAATCATGATATCTGGCCGCTGAACGAGGACACTTTTGCTCCGCGGCTGCATGACTTTTCTCCCTTTTTTTCCGTTTTTTCTCGTCACCCACGTTCTCACACACACCGGAGCTGCAGGTGATGTGTTCAGGTAAACTTGGAAATTTTACAACTAGGCGAGAAACAACTACAACACAGAAGAACTATGATGCATTCAAAGGGTTTTAGATATCTCAGCACTATAAAACTAACCAGGGTTACACTCTCCCCCTCTAGACTGCATGAGTCCCTGCATGCACACCTGCCCCTACAGGTACAGATATGTGTGAAATGGCAGCTCCTAAAGCCTCAAAGAACGAACTGATGGCCAAGGTCAAAGGCTCCCCCAACTCATCATAAGTGAGCTTCCGGGGCGGACGTCTCTCCCTAACAGAACGCCTGACACTTGTGTTCTCAGACTCTAGACTCTCAGACGCTACGTTGTCAGTGTCTGCACCTACAGGATCTGTGGGGATGAGATCTGTGGTCTCCCTCACAGGTGAGATGAGTGTCATGTTGGGTTCTGGAATGTCAATAACAACGTGGTCTGGGGCTCTACAGTGTGAAGTAGGAGGTGTAACTGAAACACTTCTCTCAGAGCTGACAAGAGGAGTTTCTGGTTGAAGCTCGTGGGTAGGTCTCTCAGGTAAGTGTGTTGGGCTTTGGGGCACAAAAGAAGGGGTGTCTGGGTTTAATACCCTAAAAGCTGGTTGAGGCTCACTGAAGCCCCCTTCCCTCTGCAGGAAGGGACCCCTAGTGATGATTTCTGGCACCCATGAGCAAGGATACAATTCATCCTCATCACCGTACGACTCATCCTCCTGACAATCAGTGTCCCCTTGCGTGTCTTTTGTTGTTTTGTCTCTCAGTTTCATTTTCTTTGACGTGTCAGTGGGAGAACTGTGCTCTGCGATCTCTGTTACAGGTAGAAACCCGCACGGCAAAAGAAGATCTCTATGCAATGTGCGTTGCGGCCCCTCCCTTGTTTCAGGTTTGACTACATATACGGGACTCTCTCTTATCCGTCTGACAACAACATGGATTTTCTGTTCCCACTGATCGGCTAGTTTGTGTTTCCCCCTGATATTCACGTTTCTCACCAAGACCCTATCGCCCTCTGAGAGTTCAGCTGCCCTGACCTTCTTGTCAAACCTAGCCTTGTTCTTCCCTCCCATCTTCTGAGAGTTTTTTGCAGCTAATGAGTAGCTCTCTTGTAGGCGTTGACGAAGGCCTTTGACATACTCTGAGTGGGTCTGGTGGTTCCCCGCATCAGGGTGGATTCCCAGGACAAGGTCAATTGGCAATCTGGGCTGCCGACCAAACATTAGTTCATAAGGCGAATAGCCTGTTGTGTCATGCCGCGTGCAATTGTATGCATGGACCAAGGGCTTGACAAAATCTCTCCAATGGTATTTGTCTCTCTCTTCCAGGGTCCCTAGCATACCAAGGAGAGTCCGGTTAAACCGTTCCACCGGGTTTCCCCGGGGATGGTAAGGGGTGGTACGGACTTTGTCTGCTCCTATCAGTGTGCAGAGTTCTCTGATTGTCTTAGATTCAAAGTCTCTGCCCTGATCGCTGAGTAGACGACTGGGGAACCCGTAGTGAACAATGAAGTTTTCCCATAAAGCCTTTGCAACAGTTTTGGCTTTCTGATCCCTAGTCGGCACTGCCACAGCAAATTTTGTGAAATGGTCAGTGATGACTAGAATGTTTCTTGTGTCTCTGTTATCTGGCTCGAGGGATAAATAATCCATACAAAGAAGTTCGAGCGGGTAAGTAGCGGAAATGTTCTCTAGAGGTGCAGCCTTTTGAGGCACAGCCTTCCTCCTGAAACAGCGTACGCACCTTTTACACTTCTCCTCAATGTCTCTGGCCATCTTTGGCCAGTAGAACCTGGCACGAGCAAGATGAAGTGCGCGCTCAGAACCAAGGTGGCCAACATCATCATGCACTCCCTGTAGTGCTCTCTCTCTGAACTGCTCAGGTAAGACCAACTGGTAAACAAGATCACCTCGTTCAGACCACTTCCTGTACAGGACATCATCCCTGAGTTCAAGATTTTTCCATTCCCTGAGAAGAAGTTTGACATCAGGATGTTCAAGGCTTGTCTCTCCGAAACTGGGTTTTACAGCTCTCCTCACAAAAGTAATGACACGTGAGATGGAACGATCATTATTTTGAGCATTACACCAGTCAGAGTTAGTCATGGATGGCAAAGTGTCCTCACCAAAAACATCAGGCACTATAGAAGGGTCGACAACAAGAGACTCTGCAACGACAGGTTGCTCTGAATGATGGGGTTCGTCACCTTTAAACATCACAAGATGACGCTGACATAATGCAGAGAACACTTCGTGATCCATGTCATCTCTTGTCTCCGTGAGACGTTTTTTCATGTCCTCTATCCTCTCTCTCTCTTTTGTGAAAGCTTCATCCTCAAGAGGCGGACCTTGAGGCCGCCGGGACAACCCGTCTGCATCGCGGTTGGCCTGTCCTGCTCGGTACTTGATGGTAAACTGGTAAGTAGAAAGAGCGGCTAACCAGCGATGACCAGCAGCGTCTAACTTTGCAGAGGTCAAAACGTACGTGAGGGGGTTGTTGTCGGTGAGTACAGTGAAAGTTGAACCATAAAGGTAATCATTGAACTTCTCGCAAACAGACCACTTTAAGGCCAAGAATTCGAGCTTGTGAGTGGGATAGTTTCTCTCGCTCTTGGACAGACCTCTACTGGCGTACGCAACAACTCTAAGCTTCCCCTCCTGCTCTTGGTAGAGCGCAGCCCCCAACCCGTCACGACAAGCATCCGTATGTACAACATATGGCAGTTGTGGATTCGCAAAGGCAAGGATGGGCGCTGACGTCAATTTCTCGATCAGAGTTCTGAATGCATTCTCACACTCGGGAGTCCACTCCTCACCAAGCGGTGCATTAGGGCTCACAAGAGGTGTGGAGCGCTCCCTCTTGTACACTTTGCCTCTCTTCTTCGGTGGGTAGTAGCCTGCTGTCAGGCAATTCAGAGGTTTGGCTATATGAGAATATCCCTCGACGAACCGCCGATAATACCCAGCAAAGCCTAAAAAACATTTTAGCTCTTTCCTATTTGAAGGACGAGGCCAATCTCTCAAAGCAGATATCTTTTCAGGGTCAGTATGAACTCCCTGCTCATCAACCACGTGACCAAGATACTTCACCGATGTTTTAAAGAAGTGACATTTTTCTGGAGACAGCTTTAGACCATAGTCTTTCAGACGGTTCAGCACTTTCATGAGCCGTGCTTCGTGTTCTTCCAATGTGTCTGAAAAGACAATCAAGTCATCCAGAAACACCAAGACCTCATTAAGGTGCAAGTCGCCGACACACTTCTCCATGAGGCGCTGAAAGGTGCTTGGTGCGTTCGTGACACCCTGTGGCATGCGATTGAATTCGAAGAAGCCTAGGGGACACGTGAAAGCGGTTTTAGGCTTATCTTCTTCAGCCACCTCGACCTGGTAATAACCAGATTTAAGGTCCATGACGGAGAACCATTTAGCACCGCTGAGGGCCGTAAATGCCTCCTCAATGTTCGGAAGAGCATATGCATCTCTGATTGTTCGAGCATTTAGCTTCCTGTAGTCAATGCATAGTCTGATTGAGCCATTCTTTTTTCGGACCAAGACCACTGGCGACGCGAAAGGGCTCTGTGACTCTTTAATGATTCCTGCGTCAAGCAATTCTTTAAGATGTTGCTTAACTGCCTCCCTGTCGCTGGGATGAATAGGCCTCGGCCTCTCCTTAAAAGGGGTCTCATCGTGTAGTCTGATGTGATGTCTCACAGTAGTGGTGTGACCATATGACAGGTCATCCACAGCAAAGACTTCTGAAATGGATCTCAGCTTGGTGATGATACGATCTCTCCATTGTCCAGATATTGGCGAATCATCAAGATTGAACTTGAGGTTGTCACTGTCAGGTTGGTTGTAACGAGAGTCACCTTGCTCTGGTCCAAGCTTTGTGACCTGCTGAGCTGCACACATTTGAGCAATGATGCATTTCGGCTGCAGCGTAACATCGTGGTCACTTAGGTTACGCAGGACAACAGGGACCTTGCTGCTAGATTTAAAGGGAATGTCTATTAGCGCAGCCTCAATGAACACGCCACCTGGTAACCCATGACGTTCGTTGGGTTCGAGCACGAATGTGGTTTGATTGTTCTTTTTCAGCCTGACATCACCTGTAACGCAGCATTTTTGTTTTGCTAGGATGGTGATGGGCTTTCCACCATGTAACCTGACAGGATGTGCATGGTTGTCAAGGTCATGGATCCGGGCAATGTGCTGGAAGATCACCGCAAGGTCTTTGGAGGTGAGTTTGCGAATCAACTCAGGGCCATCTTGTTCAAGCACTTGTTCATAGAGTGGGAATAACACATTGGTACCAATTAACAGTGGGGTCCTGCTGTTGAACTGACACTCTGGCACCACAAGTGCTAATGCAACTAGCTCCTCTTCCCTGCCAGGAACGGACAAGGGGACAGTGACACGAGTTTCTATGTAGCCAAGATAGGGAACCTGCTGTCCACCAGCTCCCTCGATTTCAAGAAGAGCATGAATGGGATGTACCGGTAAGTGAGAAAGATGGTTCTTGTGGAAACACTCGGACACTGTTGTAACTTGTGACCCGGTGTCCATGATGGACTCACATGGTATACCCTCAAGGAAGACAGAAGCTGCACAACGACGACCTATAAGTCCCGGAGGTATAGACCGCTGTGTGCCACATTCAGTTTCAGTCATTGTCTGTGTTGTAACTTTCTTTTGTGTTTCCGCGTCATCATCTGATTTGTTGGGACAGGGGTTATCCTCGACTACAGCTCCTGGATGTCCCATGGCAGGAGCTGCTGCTAGTTTAAAGCAAATGGGGAAGCAACCTGCTGAGTAAAAAACTTATCCTGCCTCTCCCTGAGTTCCGCATTTTTCTTGCGAACCAGTGTGGGGTTGGGTTCGTTTGAGCAATGAGCAGCAATGTGGTTGTCCTCCCCACACTTAAAACAAAACCACGGCCTCGGCATCCCAGGCACCTTGAAGGGTCTCCTCGTGTTATTGCTACTGATCACGAGGCAGTCTTTCTTTTGAGCACCCTCACTCTCTCTCTGATTCTGTGCTAGTTTTCCAACTTGTTTTGTCAGTTCAGCTATCTTGTTCTCAATGTCAGAGGTTTCATTCTGCCTTGGTTTTGCCACTGGGGGAGGGATACTATGATGAGTGAGGCTCTGTGGCTTTTTGCTTAGCTTTTCCAGCTGTTTACTTAGTTCATTCACTTTCTTTTCAAGCTTTGATGTCTCATTTTGTTTTATGTTAGGCAATGGGACAGGCTCACAGTCATAAGAGGGCATATCAAAAACATGGTGGGCATACATGTTAGCTTTTGAAGTACCCAAATGCTTTTTCATCCTATCTAGCTTTGCTGAACGACGGTCTTCCTCAGTTCTCAGCATGAGGAGGAACTCTGGGAATGTTGGTGGGTTGCTTCTTTTGCACTCTAACTGTAGGCCTATGATGATGCTCTGATCCCAACAGCCCCTACAGAATTGTCTGAGCAAGTGATCATTGGAGTTTTCAGCTGAGACTCCCCCTCTAGAAATTGCCCTTGTGAGGAGGCTGTGGAGCCTGTTCAGATATGCTGATGGTTTCTCTCCATTGTTTTGGTTAGAGCTGAGAAATGTAGCGAACAACTCCTCTCCATCCTCCACAACACCAAAAGCAGAATCAAGTTGAGTGACATAACTGCTCGGTGGTGAAGAAATGCCAAGAGGCTTCACGACATCAGCTGCTGGACTCAGCAAGCTCTCAAGAATCCTTCTCACCTTGTGAGCGTCGTTCAGGGAAGGATCGTTAAG